GACAAATCTCCCTCATCAAGATACCTATCCATTAACTCTTCAGATGACTCTGCAACTGCTTCAACCAACAACTCACGCCACTGCTGAACAAGCTCTAACATTTCAAGCGGAATATCACCAACTACCGGGGTAACACCCAAATCAGCATCATCCCAGCCAACCGATTTCATCTGCACCAAATCAACAACACCGCCAAACGACTCCTCAGAACCGATCGGTAATTGAACAGGAATTGCCGATGCGCCCAAGCGCGACTTCATCTGAGCAACCACACGAAGAAAATCTGCTCCGGCGCGATCCATCTTATTTACAAACGCAATTCGCGGCACATGATACTTATTCGCTTGGCGCCACACTGTTTCAGACTGAGGCTCAACACCACCCACCGCACAAAACACCGCAACAGCACCATCCAAAACACGAAGCGACCTTTCCACTTCAATCGTAAAGTCCACATGACCAGGAGTGTCAATCAAGTTAAGTCTATGAGCATCAAACTGCCCGTACATTCCTCTCCAGAAACAGGTTGTTGCAGCAGAAGTTATGGTAATTCCACGCTCCCTTTCCTGCTCCATCCAGTCCATAGCAGCCGCACCATCATGAACCTCGCCCATTTTATGGGACACACCAGTATAAAAAAGCACACGCTCTGTAGTTGTTGTCTTACCAGCATCTATGTGTGCCATTATCCCAATATTACGATATCTCCCTAACGGGGTTGCGCGTGCCATTTTATAATTCTTTTACAACCGTAAACCAGACTACCAACGAAAGTGAGCAAAGGCTTTATTCGCTTCAGCCATTCTATGCACATCTTCACGCTTCTTAACAGCAGAGCCTCGCTTCTCAGAAGCATCCATTAATTCGCCAGCTAATTTCAACGCCATGGATTTCTCTCCGCGACGACGCGCAGCATCAACCAACCAACGCATAGCCAACGCATTCTGACGAGAAGCCCGTACTTCTATCGGAACTTGATACGTAGCACCACCCACACGGCGAGACTTAACCTCAACTGAAGGTCTAACATTATCTAAAGCAGTATCTAACACTCCCATGCCATCTCCACCTTTTTTATCAGATATCTGAGTTAAGGCGCCATAAACGACTCCTTCAGCAATTGACTTCTTACCATCCTT